TAGGAGAAAATTTTAGAAAGGACTTAAATTTAAAGGAGTTCTTGCTAATTGACCAGTTTTACATATTCGGCATATATATATATATATATATATATATATATTATATATATATATATATATATATATATATATATATATAACGCTTTCCTGTGTATAAAACTGAATGTACTCAGTGCTCGAGGTATGGTCAACGTACTTTGATACGACCAGTCAGTTGGTGGTCTTATATTAGAATTCACAGAGCACTGTCGTCCAGTCACAGAGCGGACTGCCATAATGTTTTTCTTAATTAGGGTAGCAGTGCTGGGTCAATTAGGGAGGCAGTGCAGGGCTATGAAAACCAAAGTCATATCCGGGTATCCTCTTTGCTTAGCTCACACTTCTTTAGCAGTGTCCAAAGCTGTTTTTTCGTGTGGTAGGTTTCTGTGAAATTTTGGTTGTAATATACAGCGATGAGGTCTCAGTGGAAGTGATCTTTCATGGTAAGGCAGAGTCTAATAATTTTTGCAGTATGTAGTGATAGTTACTTTAGGGAATTGGTCGTTCTTGGCAAGGTGGTGGATAAACATTTATCCGATGATCTCGCTAAAATCTTGTGTTGGAGTATTCCGTTGTTGACAACAATTTGGCGAATGCGATCCACCTTAAGGTACAGAAGTTGCTACGTGGATTAAGTTGGGATCGTTCGCCTGACGCAGCCTTAGTGGCTCCCCACTTATTACACTTCACAGCTTTCATCGAGTGATTTTCCTAGTTCATTCATCCGTGTTTCCGTATTGGAAGGTCTCCCCTTAACTTACTTGGCTGCGAGAGTAGCGTATCCGTCTCACGATTTGCGGGATAGAGGATCGAGCCTCCACCACTCCTTGCGCTGAATGTTCCACACGGGTCTCCCGCTTTGAATAATTATTAAAATGATTCCGGGCGAATCTTCAAGAGTTAACATTAACCAGATCACATGGAATTGGTAATTTACCAGCTACAAACACAACATAACCGCAGATTTCGTGACCATTTTTTGCAGTGTTCACCACATTGTTACCTTCTTTTAGTAAAGTTTTGAAAATGAAAACAAATAATAATATATCTTGAAGAATAAATTTATTTTATAATTAAGAACAAAGAATTTCATTCTTCTTAGTAAATACAAATTAGGAATCGAACATTGCTCAAAATCGTAATGAGTTTTATACTTAAATAAGAAAGAAAGAAAAATGAGGCCTCAGGATATTGGTCACATAATCGGAGAGTGATTTTGTTCATGACAGAATGGACAGGGATTTTTTTAAATATTTTTAATATCTGTATTGACGGGAGAGAAATTTAATTATATTTCTTTACATAGACTGATACCTGTCTATAGTAAACAGCTTCTACAGTTAAAATGGTTTACTGGTTGCTTATAAGAAGGAAGAGAGCAGTGTGAGGTCATGGCAAGATCAGGTCACTGAACACAGCAAAGTTAGTTCACATACATATGATGTTATATCACATGTAGGTGAAATCAGGTCACACACACATGCTCCACAGAACGTGTTCATCAGTAGTATAGCAATTAGTGGCGCACTGTTGAAAACTCTAGTTTTGTTCGATGGTATTCTAGTGTTGAGTGTCTGCAGCCTCTGTACTCTCACGCATACATAATAATGGTACGTGTAAGTATGCATATACTGGACCTGGACGTAAGAGATAGAAAATGCCGATAAACTGGAGTAAAGACACTATTAGCAGTATGAATATTTTATTTAACACTTTTTTGCTTGGAGAGCAAGCTTTTTAAGTTCGTTTTAAATAAAGTTTACACACTGCTTATAGTGTCTATATTTCTGCACTCAAACTGAAACTTTTGCGTAATACACTGTGTATATTTATACAGAATGACAATCAGCACAAATCACTAATATGTGCAGACCACGATATTAACATAACGTCAGTATAGAATGTGTAATGTTTTTGAGACAGATAAGTTACCCTTTTGAATGGTGTTCTCCACACTGAGAACATAGCATGGCTTGTGACTAACTTTGGTATTTGATTCTCATTGCATAGGATTGGTAACGTATTTAAGGAATGCAAGAGCATGGTGTTAAGTTTGCAAGTGAGACGTTACGGGCAATGCTTTAAACTAGCCTTCGAAGAGCAATAGTGGCAAGGCCTTTGGCATACCTGTGGCAGGTATCGAGAGTTATTTTTTTGTACCCTAGCAACTCGGCCTGAACCAGCTTCTTGCGTCTTACGAGTTCCTTGGCACCCTCGTCCTGCATCGACACTAACCAAGATAACACAACTCAAGATCGCATATTAACCTTGAGACCAAATTCTGAAGGCGTCTAGAAGAGTTTCTGGCGAAGTTATTCTTTCCTCGGAGGCGAGATAGTGTAACCCCTCGTATTTGTCGAATTTGCCTTCAGAATCTGGTTGTCCGAGACTAATACTTTAAAACAAGAATACTGTTGCAGTAGACTGTACTGAAGCTTATGTTCGAACTCTCTAACTTCAGAGAACTCAGATACAAGATTCGTCATCCATGAAACTTACGAGGCCGATCGTGATATCTTGAGAAGCGACCCAGAAGACGACGACGAAACCTCCGACAGCGGGACCGAGGCAAGTGAAGACTCTCCACAAAGACACACTGACTCATCCCTCAACTTGTCCAACATATCAGGCGACTCTAATCGTGGTTTGAGTGGAGAAACTGAAGGCTCCAACGAGAGCGACGAAGGCAGCTCCACAGACCAGGGCTCCCAGACAGATACCTCCACAGATACTCTCGTAGCAGACGTTATTCAGTACCAGGCAGATCTCGTCGACCTCACTGAGGCGGCCTTTGTGGAATACGACCAGGCGACAGGTGCTCGTATAGAACATCCGGGCACACAAGTAACATACAACGAATACGGCCACACTTTATGTGCTTATCAGGAATACCCCAAAAATTGCCTTTCGCGCAGGGTATTAAACCAAACATTCTGTGACTTGGAAGGCTACTCGACCTTACATGAGACGTTTTGCGAAAAAGACGAGATCACAGGTGCGCTTATAGAACATCCGAACGACAGCAGTGACGAAGAAATCCAACCCCACTTTTATGAAGATTCAAGTTCCTTCACAGAGAACGGCGATTCATTTTTCTTAAATTTCGAAGAAGAGTTAGAGCAAGCAGAAAGACAATATCCCAATTTACAAGTTGAGCATTTGTTGATAAACCAGGAGAAAGAAGAGGAGGACGAACCGAAAGTAGAAGAGATTCATTGGTGGGGGAGTGAGACAGCAAAGGAGGTAAGTCGGTACTCGACGATTACTGAGGAGGGCGAGGAAGAAGAGATAGTTGTGGTGGTACCGCGGGGCAAGCTGGAGACCACGGCAATGGGACAGTACTACTCCAGCGCCTCAGGAGGTGGACCCTCCGGAGGCGAAGTTTCGGGATCTTTAGCGTCATCGCTTCGGTCTTCTGAGGAGTGGAGGATATCGCTGGCCTCTACCGTCACGGTAGCATCCACAGCCACAGCAGACTCCGATGATACACTGGCCAAGGACATGTCAGAACTCTCGTCTGTCAACTCGCGACTCTCGTCCTTAGATGAGGCACAGGACGAGGTGAAAGGTCATCCTATAGTAGATTCAAATGTTAAAGGTATGATACAGACTGACCACAGACGCCAGACAAGCATCAGAGATGCTATTGATGAACTTGAGAGTATCGAACAAGCAGCACAAACGCTGCTGCAGAATCAGCAGTTCTCCACTGACGATGGCAGAGGCGCACCTGTCTCTGATACTCATACTATCAACTCCTCTGGTGTGTCTTTTACCGAGGTTAATCTTAGTGCAAAGCTGAGTCCTCTATCAAAAAGAAAACTTCCGCAAAGCCCACTGCTACTTCAAGACGCAGACAACCATGAAACGCTTCCAGAAAAATCAGAAAAGACACCGCAATTGGGCACATCCGCTAATAACAAGACAGAGACGGTGTCCCCCGGTGAACGAGTATACCAGGAAATTCCCTCCACGAAGGCTGACAAGGACGGTCTCAATCAAAAGACAGAAAACTTATGTTACCAAGAAAACGTAGTCATTAATGGAGACAGCAAAACAACAACGAGGAACGTGGAACAAGTGCTTGAAGTTAAAGCAGAGGTCAAGCCTCCATTGCCTCCTACAACAGGAAGCCAGCTGTCAAAATTTGAAGTCAAACGTCGGTTCTTGTCCAGATCTAAGGAATTGAAACCTTACATATCACGTGAATCCTACAATGATGAACTTGTTTTGAAGGATCTCGAGAGGTTACGTCGAAGTTATCAAGAGGGAGATTTAAACGACTTCCTGGACGCCTTGGAAAACACACCCATTTCCGATGATATTGAAGAGGCTTTTCTACGACAGCTGCTAGTGGATATCAGCGAGAACGTCGAAGGCTTACCACAGGAATCCGAGGATTCGTCTGAGCCCAAAGAAGAGACCGAAATAGTACAGCAGAAATCTTCTGCTCAGCCTGAAAACGAGGTACCCACAGAACCTAGTCACGGTTCATCATCCGCAAGCACACTTGAAAATGTCAAAGAGAGAATTCGGGAAATTATTACAATTCGCAAGGCAGGAAGAGTAATAGGTACCGGAAACTGTGAAGAACCCAGTATACAGAAAGATGATTCCAAAGCATCAACCTATCCATCTAAAGAGGATTTGTGTCCTTCAGAAACACTGCAGACCAGCAGGCCGATAACACCTCAGTCGCTGAGGCCAGACACGCCAAACTCTAAGTCAAGTAGACCACAGACCCCAGATTCCAGTACGAAGGGAGACGACGGTAAGAAAAGTTTCAACATCGCCGAGTTCCTGAAGAAGGGTTCACCGAAATACCTTCGAGAAAAGTACAAGGAGCGAAAGAATCGTAAATCAGATGTAATAACCACATCAGAGAGCGAGAGTGAGGACCCTGACGGAGGGAAAAAGGATATTGACCAGGGCAACTCTGCCTCTCAGAAGAACGGTTCTTTGACAGAATATCAGTCAAGCCTAAAAGGAAGCAACAGATCTCTTAATTCGTCGCAGGAATTGAAAAAAGAAGTCCGCTTTGAATTTGATACAGATGGACAGAGGAGGGAGGTGGAAAACTCAAATTGTAAAGACTCAACAACTGATTCCAAGATTTCAGAGGCAGTCGAGTTGAAAATTCAGCACACGTGTATCGGTCCTCAGGTGATCACATACGAAGCACAGCAACAGGAAACAGTAGTTCTGAAAGAGACAACTGAGGAATTGGAGAGTGAGGCGGGCTTCACGCTGCCGTCCACAGTGGAAGACATAAACAACTTAGCACAGACTTTACTTCCCAGGCTTCCAGAGAGAGTTAAACCTTCAAGGAAGAAGAAAAAGCTTATACCTGCTTCTGTGGAGGAGCTCAGCACTGGAGACATCTTTAACTCAACGTCAACTCTCGCTTCCAACGGGTTGCAAAAAGCAGACACAGAGTCTCTGATAATAAACACAACAGTTAAAGAAGAGTCACCACCACCTCTTCCTCACTACGAAGAACTCTTAGAATTGCCCAAAACTTCAACCAGATGTGTCGCGGTAGTTGAAAGGGACCGCTCCGAGAGTCACTCATCGGTGGCAAGAGAAGAATCAGAGGATAGTAGAGTAACCAACAAAAATACCGTTCATACGGAATCTCCGCAACGTTCTTCATCTATTGCGATGACACAACTTCCTGATTGCACTATGACATCGTCCCCTTCTGTAACCACTGTTACCCCCGATCATATTACTACTACTACTACTCTAACATCTTCAGCTATTAATGCAGCATCGGAATCAGTAGCAGCGGATAGCACACAATCTTTTTTGGGAGCAGTGCCCTCTGCTCCTACTCTTTCAACCCCTATAAAAACAAGTATCGTTACCTCAGCTACTGATGTACAGGTCCTTGTGTCACCATTAACTGTGACCCCCGTAGCTTCCATATCTGTCGCACCGACGCCAGAGAATGCAACGCTGCTAGTTTATCCGGCGAGGACTTTGCCTCTTCCCGTGATCCCCGAGTCCCTACAGGAAGACCAAGTATCTCTCCCCACTCCCAGCGAGCCGACGGTCTCCTTCAGCAGTCATGGAGGTTCTGCACCAGTTACTCCACAAGATGAAGAGGAAAACGTCCCTTCTTTGTACGACAATGTCAACCCATTCAAGGAGATGCGGGAAATGGAAAGTAAACCGCTTCAGGATGTTGCTCCGGAGCCACTCCCTGTGACCAAGATTACAGTGGAAATTGAAACAGAGACGACGGAAATAGAAACCATTACTCTGTCCCAGCAACTGAAGGATGAAAATCTTTCTCACCATTTCAGTCTTCCTCAGGAAGCTTGCAAGAGCCCTGATTCAGAGAAGAGTTTAGTGGTAGATATTGATGCGTTGACAGCACTGACCGCTGAGATGTTTAGCTTTGCCCACGACATGGATAAATGCTTGCCACACAAGGAAAACGACCAGCTCGATCATTCGAAAGCTTCCGCTCCTGAAGTCAGTATGGTGACAGATACGTTGAAATCGGACAATAAATCGGAATATTTAACGGACAGAGGCAGTGGTGGTTCTGTCACAGCATGTGTAGCTGAAGTGTCAGAAGCTGCGGTCTCCACCACATACTTGACCAAGCAACAAGAGGACATAAAAAAGAAGAAAGAGACAAAAGAAACAGTGACCCAAACTGAGCTAGATGACACCTCTGAGGCCATATCTGTGAAGGAGAGGGCTAAAAGCAACACCATCGCCATACAGACTGACGCGACCAGGTACGTTCGTACGTACGAGGCCTCCTCTCAGACCGACACAGAGTATGAAACAGACTTTGAGACTGAATCCGAAATGGAAGAAAACTCGAGCAGCAGGTACGACGTGAGTAAGTGGTTATTCCAACCAGCAAGGGAGAAGAAGCTGCCACTGTCAACACCGAAGGATCCTCAGTTACAGGAGCTTCACAAGCAGCAGCAAGCGATGATAATGGAACTGCAACAGCAGTGCCTGATGCAAGAGAGGAGACAGAGGGAAAAACCGGAAGTGCCGCCACGGCAGTTCCAGGAGAAGATGCCTCTGAAGGTTGTCGACGAGTTGAAGACGGTGCTGTCTGAGGTGGAGGAGGTGGGAGCAAAGCTGAAGAAGGTGCCGATCCTTCCCCACACTGGGACTCGGACCTCAAATGGAATAACGGTAGGTCACCTGATATTGCTACTAATAATCCTTTGGAGCCTAGCAAGACCCTAGTTAATATAATATCCGCTCAGTCAGGTGCTTCGCACTTCCCTATTGTGCCTGCAGGCTCTCCTTCTCTATCCATCAGCCAGCCTCATTCTTTCCCTATCCCTGTAATGCAATCTCCAATTCTTGCTCCTGAGAATAAATGCCCTAAATCTGATATGAACGGAAGGTTAGATAGGCGGTCGTCATGTTTAGTATCCACAGATGATCTGGCAACTATCCCCGAGGAGGTGCCTACGCCTTGTGCCAGAGCGGAGGGTAGTGTAGACGTGAGCCAGCAAGCACAGCACCTTCCCTCTGCACACCGCAAGCACGAGGCAGCCACTACCACCACCCATCTGCAGATCCCAGCCAAGCATGTTAAAGGTAACGATGCATCTGTTGACCTTAAGTCAACGGAAAACATAACTACAGCTAAGATCAGAGCCAACGTGTATCCGTTTTTTGCTCCAGTTAAAATTCCCAGAGGAAAGCCGCCTGTTCCTCGACCAGCGATTCGTCGCTTGTCAGGGGAAGGTCAGATGCTGGAGGAAGGTTACCAGAGTGACCCGGGGGCAAGACGCAACAACGGACGCCATAAACAAGTGTCGGCAAAGGTGAAACCTTCGACTCCGACATCAGAAGATCGAGGCTACGCTACTGACACGGACATAATGAAGACTGAGCATGAGAGGCAAACAACACTTGGCAGTGCATGGACACCCTCGGGTCAGCCTGCCCAGCCGGAGCTGCATCAGAGCCCGGCAGAACATGGTAAGAGAAGTGTGGAACTAACACCCCAGGCGACTCCAGCTCCTGTAGAGCATCCTTATCCTAAACCCCATCCTATTCCTTCCTCTCCTACAAAGACAGCTTTTGCTGAGCCACTGTCGCTTAGAGTTAACATTAGCAGGTTGTCAGATGTGGTTAGAGCTGTAGCGGACATCCCTGGTAGTGACCGTAGACTTTGTGAAGAAATCTTATCTAGGATTCATCAGTATGACTTTCATCAATACACTGCCGTGAAGGAACTACCTACACCTCCAGTGGAATTGTCCCTCAAGCATCCACAACTCTCTGGTGAAGCAACAACCTATAGCGTACCAGCGAAAGATAACCGTGACGTCCCATTGAGCCAAGAACAGTCACCTCCTCCCTTACCATCCCTATCCCCTTCCCCACCTATGCCCCACCGAAGCCTCCTGGCTCCGGGCACTGGCAGTGTTGATCGTGGCTTAGCCACGGCAGAGTCGCTATACCCGTGCCAGCCGTCTCATGCCCAGTCTGGCTCCACAACACACTTAGAACTATCGTACCGCACAGAGCGCCCCCGGCGGCCACTCACCTGGTGCTCTCAGTTCACGTCGGTTACGTTCTCCCACGACGACCAGCTTCACCATTTGACCACAGCTGCTCACGCTCACCAGAAGCATCCTAATCTGCCAGGGAATCGAGCCAAAAGCAGCAACAACAAGGAAGAGGTGACACCTATCATCCACTTGGCACCCGGGACCCGTCCTGTTAGTTTTGTTGGGCCCTACGGGTGGGAGAGGCTTAAAGCACAGGGTCTAGCAGAGTGGCTGTTCTTCGCTCGCCTTGATCGTACGAACAAGAATCTTAGTCAGCTTCCTTCCAGCATGGAGCTCAAGCCTTCTCCGCTTGTTAACGGCTCCAGTGAAGTGAATGATAATCCATCTGATGAGGTATCCCCAGAGTATTCCAATGACACCATTAGTCGAGAAGACATTGTGAAATGTGCAAAATACCCTTCAGCAAAACCTAGGACGAAGCCTAAATCTCCACCACCGCCCCCACGCCCGCGCACGCCCATTGATGAGCGTGACCCTGAACTGGTGTACGCCGAACGCCGCTACCTGTCCTACTTTGAAGATCCCCCCTACAAACGTCGCCAGATACGCAGCATTTCCCAGGAGCCACCCAAACCTACCTACCAGCAGCTAGAGGCACAGCGACGCTACAACAATTTCTTCCTAGGTACTCCTCAAGCCTCGACTCCCACCAGAGAAAACGTTAGCAGGTCCCCTGAACCGGACCTTGCCCAGTTGGAAGCTCAGAGACGCTACGAGTCTTACTTCCATCCTGGACCTCCAAGGTCACGATCTACAAAATCACCTGAACCTGCTAAACCTGACGCCCAGCAGCTGGAAGCAGAGCGACGTTATTTATCGTACTTTAATACTGGACCTCCACGTGCACGCTCCTCTTCACAGGTTGAGTCTTCACGTGAGCCCGATGCTGAGCAACTGGAAGCAGAACGGCGCTACCTAAAATACTTTAACCCTGGTCCTCCCCGTCCTACATGTGTCAATAATGAACGCACTCCCGAACCCGACGCTGAACAGCTGGAAGCAGAGCGCAGATACTTGGCGTACTTCAGATCTGGCCCGCCGCGCCAGCGCCCCAGGCCTTCATCAATGTCTGAAGCCTCTCCCGAACCAGACCCAGAACAGCAGGAGGCGAGCGACGGTACCTGAGCTACTTCAAGCCGGGTCCCCCTCGTCCCAGACCTCGCAGTGATATAGACATTGATAGAAAGCCCGACCAACAGCAGCTGGAAGCGGAAAAACGTTATATGACATACTTTCAGGGCACGCCTAAGGCAAAACGCAAAACAGATGAAGAAAAGGAAAGGGAAGATGATGGTAAACTCCGTGTCCCTCCTACAAGAGAAATGTTGGAGGCAGAGGAGAGATTTCTTTCTTACTTCAAACCAATTCCGTGTGGGGAGCCCAAACGCCTCATTACTGACGCCGCCCCTCAGTGAGAAGGATAAAGTGCGACAGCAGCTCATGAAGGAGTACTGGGAGGCGATGGAGAACCGAGTTGATCGTAAAGAGAAAAAAATTATTAAAGTAAGTCGTCCGAAACGGGAAATTCAGAGGGAGGCAACGCCGCCTACACAGCGAGAACTGGTGGTCGAGGAGTTCTTGCAACGTGTCAAGGATCGCAAGAAGGAAAAAGACCTCCATTATGGTGACACAGACGACGAAGATGATGAGAAAGATGGAGATACGTTGAACTCTAAGCTGGGCGTCCCTGTCACTGGCGACGACCTACCCACGCCCATCATCGAGGGCGGTGGCGAGGTGAAGGGGAGGATTGTGGATGACCTGGGACTGTTTGTGAGCCAGGAGGGTGAGTGACAGTAGTGCTAAGCCGGAGCCCCAGGGTCCAGGGCACACGCCAACATTGCTTGCCTTGTGAACATTAACACTCGAGCCCCCGCTACGTGACCTCACTGGAATCAGGTCGTGGCAGTAGTGAGCCTTTTGAAGAGGTGTAGTAACCCTCCGCCTGTCTAACCTTCCACCGTGTAACCATATAATCTCCTGGAGCTCCCGTCTGTGGGTAGACAACTAGCTTGGACAATTAACCCGCGCGTGTTTACGAAACATTAGTGTCATAACCACTTACGTAGTCATCACTCGGAACGAATAGCAAGTGCCATTTATTTGGCTGACCCAGTTTCTTAGTTGTGTGTAGAATGTTGTACGACTGTGCCAAATGACCCCACACATCAGACTAACCTTCCCCTCTCCTCCTGCCCCAGTATCTCAGCATACCCCGACAGTGTCCTGTGACACTGCGAGCCTCAGTAGACTCGTGGCTCTCCTGGGCAATAGTCAGTAGGGTTACAATGTACCGAAAAGTTATGTCATTCAGTAGCTTGTGGCGTTGTAGGAAGCATGAGTAGCGTGTGTGTGTGTGTGGCTTTGGTGTTTACCTCTGACAGTTTTTTATAGACTGTGTGTGTGTTATGAGAGGCCATTCTCTAGGTATCTCCTCAGAGATGTGACCCCTCGACGCTACGCCACCTGAACAGCGTAATATATATGTGAATAATTCCTCTGTGCTGTCAGAATCACAGACATGGAATGAGTTAAGAATAATCTTGTTCTTGGAGTGTGAATATTTTATTTGGATTGTTTTGTCGTATGATGATTTTTTAATAAGACACTAGCCATGATTTTAATATTGTTTGCGTGAAGCGGTGAATCCCTGTGGGTCATTCAACGCAAGGAGTGGTGAAGGCTCGATCCCTCGTCCGTTGAGGCCAAGTCTACGATAAGTCAAGTTGTTGGCAGATCCTCAGGAGCAAGTTGATGATGGTAGCATTAAGTTGATGTCAACAACTGTTATAGGCTGAAAGCGATGAATAAACAAACAGTTCCAGAGATCGAAATCAAACAAGTAAAAATCGTGTGTGGTGGGGGGAAGGGGGGGGGGGTCAAAGAGATAGGTAAAGACACGTGTGGCAGAGGTACGTGGGGGTCCATGGTTGTCCTTGGTATGCTTTGTTACTAAGGTCATTAAGCTCGAAAGCTTCCTAGTGTTAACTAAACTAGGGAACATAGTAAAACCTTCATGTATATACACTGAGGTCCACATGTAGGTGTGTATATCCTTGACGGTACTGTTGAATAACACAAGACTAATATTAGCTCAATGATGACACATCGTTCTCGGCTAGTGTTCCCCCTCCCTCAACCCATCTGTACCCTCCTGTCCATCCCTCTTCTTTCGTCTCTAATTTACTTCATTTGCTCCCCATTTCTATCTCCCTTTTCATCTTCTCTGTATTTACTCGTATTTTTTCATCTTCTTCCCATTTAATATTTTTTTCCCTTCTGTCTATTTACTCGTATCCTCTCTTCCTCTCCCCTCCATTTCCTCACTATTTTTTTCTTCTCCCTATCCACCTTTCCCTTCCCTTACCTCGCAACCTCCTTTTCCTCTCTCCTCTCTTCCTTCTACCCCCCACCCTTACCTCTCCCTTTTTTTCCCTCTCCCTTTCCTCCCCCTCCATACTCTTCCTTCGCGACACCTGCTACCCTGCTACACTTGTTGCTGCTTCTTCTAAAGTCGTTCATCTTCCACTGTTCTCTGTTCAAGAGAATGTTCACCGTTGTTACACTTAGCTCTCCAATCACTCTCAACTCAGATATGAAAGT